CATTACAGTGGCCGGTTATTTACCGTTAAATTAAACGACGGGAACATTCTCCCGCACGAAAACGGTACGCCCGTTTTGTACTTTACGGCTTCCCACAGTTTCTTTCATACAGACTATTGTAATCCGACATAGCCACTTATAAGAAGACATAGCGAGACATAAGGAGACAAAGCGAGACATAAGAAGACATAGCGAGATTGAAATGCCTAGCACCTTATCGAACTCGGTGGAAGTCAAGTAGCTACTTTAAACTATCGTCAGTCATGAAAAGATCCGGTCAAATGACACGATTTTAGATCTTCTGTGAACAAGGCACGAAAAGAAAAAGAATCGGCGACAGGCCACATCAGGCCTACACTTCAGCGCCGAGATCACTATGTTATGTTAAATTTAGCGTGAGAATGGTAGGTACGAGTAAAACTGACTGGCAGAAGGGAGGCGCTCACAAAGTCTATTGAAGCCACTTTGCATATATCAGAATACTCCTGTCATGAATTGTCCGAGGAACTAGGAAATATTTTTTCTCAAAAATAGTCTTTTGAAAGATGATGGTGAATAAAATTTTTCGTTACCACCCGACACATTGCGTAAATTTGTCGCGAAATTCAAGTGGGCCCTAACGTTCTGTGTTTGAAATATTGCGATCAGCCGTGACAAATTTATAGTATCATCAGTTATAATTTTTTTGGCCCAATTAATTGTGTTTCCCAATATTTATAATATTATTATATTGCAGCATTTATCTAAGGCCACGTTGACGTAGTCTCGACAGCGGCTTGGCATCTCTACAGCGCTGAAGCGAGTAAGCGTTCATAGGAGCTTGTGAGTGTTTAGTTTGCGTGCAGAGGCGTCGAGCTTTTTTCCTACTAATATTTGCAATGTCCTGCTTACAATATTGATTACAGGGTAGGTTTATTGTCAAAAGGTAACCCCTTTACGCAGAGGGATTCATATAAAAATTTAGTTTTCTGTAACTTACTACGATAGTGAAACTTATTCATCTGTGAGACATTTGCTTATGCCGCTAGATAAGTTTTTTTAGGTAAAGTGTGTGAGAGAAAAATATTGACACGGAGTGCTGCAGGTAATTCGCGCCTAATATTCAAAAATCTACGAGCTATATAAATTCCTCATTTTACGCAAAAATATTCTTGGCGAAAATATTTTGAATTGATCCTCTGTCGAAACTGGTTAAGTGTTCACAGTATGAAATTTCATTACACGTCGAGAATTTACCCATAGCCTTTACTCTGAGCTGAACCATTGTTCGTTATGGATAAACAAAGTTTCTTTCAGCGGCTGTTTTCTCGAATATAACTGCATGTTCGAATAAAATGGTTAATGGAACCATTCGATCATCACAGTAGTAGCATTTAATTCTGTCATTGATGAAATTAATACTTGCAGTACTTCAATCAAGTCTATTAAAATGACTAGAGTGCCAAGTCCTCTCCGGTGGCTCAACGGTAGCTGCTTGGCTTCACGTGTTGGAGACCCGAATTCAATACCTGCACAATGGGATTTTACTTCAAGTTTATTTCTCACGAGGTATGTGTATGGTACTGTGATAATTTGTTCATGCTACATGTCTGCTATTGTTACTTGCATTGTCATTGTGGATGTGCATACGTACTCCTTACGAAGTTGCAAGCTATGATGCATTATCAGTAAATGCAAATGCATAGGATTTGAAACCTAGGGAAAAATTTGTATCGACTACATTTTTGAGCTGGCCATCGTTGGCTCATAGATGCGCCACCTATGTCAGCGGGTAGTTATAGGAGGGAGATGAAATTTTTGGGCATGCTGGCCATCCGCAGTTTATAGCTGGATCAAAGGTCGGACACGCCATCGATGCTCCGCCTCTAATTTACACCTAGAGCCACCAATAATCATCGGTGCTCAAACAATAATTTTTATTCGGGGCCAATAAGACCTGCTTCTGCATGGTCGCACCTGCCGCCAGGAGGGGCGAGGGACGTGACGGTCCGAGCGACGGCCTCGCAAGACCCCATGTGGGCAGACTGCACCACGAGCTCCGGCAGCGGCGCCGCTGGCAGAGCCCACTTAGGGCAGAAGGTGTCAAGAGGGCGCGTGTACACTCCTGTGAGGCAAGCATACTTGTGAAATATTAAATATTCAGCTTACCATAACAATTCAGAATTACCTCGCTGAAAGTATTGGTATAGCCATAAAAATTGAAATGTTTTTAGGAGCAAGAAAAATTAACGGAAATTGTCCTAAAAACTACTCGGAAACTCTAAACCGGTCCGTCTAGGTATCGGCTGACTGCCTTATGTAGGTCCTTTAAGGTATTGGCTGACTGCCTTATGTAGGTCCGTTAAGGTATAGGCTGACTGCTTTATGTAGGTCCGTTAAGGTATAGACTGCCTTAAGTAAACACTTCAGTTCAGTGGCGAACGGGACAAATGACTGGGTTGGCGGTAGATCACACTCATGAGTTGTAAATGTAACGTTACTTAGAAGCTACGCATTTTCCTTTCATATTCGGAAGATGTAAAATTCTCAAATTTAAAAAAATGCTGGAGAGGTTTAAGCTCCACTTGTACATACTAAATATGCTGCTTGATGGAGGTTGTGCATGAGGCAAACACGGATTTGTCATGTATGAATGATTTCGAGCATAAAATGTATTCAATATTTTCTCTCTATTGAGCAAGTCTATCATTGACAACAAAATGGCAGGTCATAAATTTGAATCTAATGTTTCAAATTTGATAAATACTGTAAATTAATTATTTACTGTAATTTTATAATATGTATTATTGTAATAATCATGTCCGTAGTCAATCTGGCGTCTCATTATAATCATTATAATTGTATGTAATTGAGACGTAATATTCACTTGACCTGATAGAGATTGATGACGAGTCAACATCTGGAAAACACGTGATAGAACACGTGATCAAGACCTTAGTTGCAGGCGGAAGCGAATGCTATATAAGGGCTAGCAACCTTAAGTATAAAGGCCCCGCAGTAGTTGATAAGCGCTTTGCGATGTAGCGTGTCTGTAGAGTTCTCCGTAGCTTATACCTCTGCATCGTACTCCTGTATAACCACCTCGTATATAAGATATGTTATCTGGACTTATGTGTCTTACTTATCCCTCACTACCTTAGTCAACGAACCCGATCCTCAGGTAGAGCTTAATATATGAGCTCTGACAATCAGATAATCAATTGAGTAAATTACGTCTATTCTGTTTCACGAAGAAATATAATGACTTGTAAGGCGGTCAAAGCATCAAGATTGTGATAATTAAATAATCACCTTCGATTAAGAATTATTATCAAGGCAAACGAAATAATGTTAGCTGAACGGTTCCTGGAAAATTATATCTTTTTTGCATTGTTTCTTCTACATAAACTGAGGAAAATAGACGCAATAAAAATTTTGATTTAAAGGGATGATGAAGCTTTACTTGTTGGCCATAATTATGCGAAAAGGTTACTAGAGGATCTGTGGTGATGCCCGGCTGTCAGACTGGTATTTAAAAGGATTGATTTACGATATTTGACTCGAAGTCATTAATAGGGATTTACTAACTAGCCACAAACCTCTGGATGCTTATTGCTGACATGAATAGAAGAAGCATTAGAATGGCACTCACTTGCTTCTGAGCAGGGGCGTCAGGAGGTCGTCGCTGGGGTTGTACCAGTCGCCACCCTCTTCCTCCAAGTACAGCACCACGTCGCCCACGCGACGCGCCACCACCTCCGCCCACTGCGACGTCCTCAGCCGCCCCGGACTCATCCGCACCCGCAGCGTCTCGGGCTGCACGTAGGACAGCATCAGAGCTACGGCTGCAACGTCCCGACCTGCGAGCGTGAGAACCATAGAAGCTTTCTATTCTGGATTACATGAATAAATATTTTTTCATTACATTACTTTACGTCACATGAGATTGGTTCACTTTCACTGTCAATACACACAATGACATTGAGTGAAATTTGTTATTTAAACATTGTTATCAGTGAGGGTCAAATTAACTGGAAACTGCATATGCCCTCACATTATCATATTACAACTATTTTCGTCTCTTACAAAATATGTGGTTTGGAATATCAAGTCGTATAATGTATAATGGCCAAATTGGCTCAATCGATTAGCTGAAAAAATTGCTGTGACAAACCGCCCTCAGATATTCGAACCCGTCCTATAGCCACGAGAATTTACATTAGATCCCTTGCCACGTCTTCTAATAACCGGACGCTTTTGATAAAATGATTCCCATTGGCTAATCAGTAAAGCTTTAGGCTGAACAGCACTTAAACGCAAATGTCAACAGCCAAATTCAATATACAGGTATATGAAGATTACCAGTATACAAAAAATCCAAATCGAGTTTACATGAGAGAACTAGAGCTGGGAGTGAGAGCATGAGAACAGTTATATGATCCTGAAATCGATTATTTGAATAAATAACCAAACTTGACATAACTAATATTTTGTTCATAAATTACATGGTATTAAACTATGTAAGATCCTGACACTTTTGCACGCAACTACTTACTCTCAGAGGAACTATAACTTTAGAGTTAAACAGAGTTGAACTTTTAACAGAGGAACTATTACGTCGGTCCGCATCATGCGGCTAAAACTGACAGCTACCGAAATATTATAATACGTCTGAGCTGGTCAAGCTCAATCTTCATCGTCTAAATTCAAGTGGGAAACTTTTCGAGGAGAGCATTGACTTAAAACATTGGTCATGTAGGCCTTGAAGAATAGGCTTGATATGGCCTGTCGCTTACATTAAGTGGGGACACACTTCTGACGGGGTAATATCCACATGAGTCTAAAGCGTTTTCTGCCGAGCGAACATTTCAACATTACTTTGTCAATTTCAACATCGCATTGAACGCAAGTGAGCTCCACCAACCAGACTCTACGTTCCAGGCAGTGGAGTGGGCGAGCGTTGCGGAGGCGGCGATCTCCGCCACCTGCGCGACGTCTGGGCAGCGCAGGAGGCACGCCTGCTAGTGCAGGTGGGTGGTGACGCCGGCGCTGGCCAGCGCCTGCCGCAGCTCCGGCCATCGGCTCACGAAGTGGCGGGGGCTGCTGCTGCTCAGCGCCTGCACCGCGTACTGCAGCACCTCCAAGTAACTGGGAAATGACCTTCATATTCAGGGTATGTCATAGGAAACAAGCAGTTTTCCCAGGCCATCAAATACAGAAAACTTGCCTTGACGTGAATATATAATTATATAATAAACCTTACAATAGTCGCGCGGATTACAAACGAAATCCACGCCTCTGAAAGTCAACCGTAACGAAACAAAACGAGAAGGTGAACAATTAGGTCAGTTTTTGCACCCGACCATTGCAAGGTTAAAAAATTTGCCAACGAGCGTTGTCAAAGCAAATATTGTCATATATAAATATAATAAATCGATTTTTTCTACGAGCGGCGCACAGTCAGATGACGCAGAGTCAGGGCCCATGAATTTGAATTGCTGTCGAATTACTGCTCAGAAACCTGTGCCTGTGGCATAATTATTTTATTGCACCCACACTCTACGAGATCGTGCTAAAAGCTGCAGCGCAAGGCATAACCCCGACAACTCAGCTGACAGATCGACCACGGCTTGGTGGCGCGTCGATGGAACAGTCCACTGCTCTCCCGCCCCAAAATTACGGAGCAAATCTTACGGCTCGAGAGGAGGTGGCGACTGCAGGTTAGGCTCGTCTTGTCCCACGAAGCGGCGCCACAAGCCTAGCACTCCCGCCCACCGCTGGTCCCGGTCTTCGACTCTGACAAATGACGTTAGGGGTGAGCCGTGACTCCGATAAAAGGCAGGGGTGTTCCTGATCAATTCCTATAGGATAAATCAAGAGGGATGCCCCGGAACAGACAAGACGTGTCGTGAGGCGTGACTGTTAATAAATTTCACTGCAATAACGGGATGGTCAAAACCTGGCGACCATTACGATATTATGTCTAATTCTCACCTAGAGGCAGGAATCTTTGTTCGCGGTAAAATAAAGGTTTATTTGATTTGGCTAAACTTTTCGAGCATTGCTAATGCTCAAAACGCGAACTTCATTGATGTTGATATTGTAAATTGGTATAAAATGTTATAAATTTGTCAGGTTCAAATCCTAATGGCGTTAAAAGATGTCAAACAAATGTTAACTTTAAGCGGTTCAGTTCAGTAATTGGCTTCAATTATAACAGGTATGCTTCACGGATCTGCACTTGAATGCCAAGTTGTGTAAATTCAAAAAATTAGAATAACATTCATTTAGGTTCGCGATAGAAACGAAAGGTAAGTTGGCTTTCCTTGATGACGCTTCCGCTTTGCTAGTTGTTCTCCTTCCTTGTGCATTAGCTGATTTGAGCTGGTTGTTGTTGGGGCTGATAAGGAGACTGGTTTAGGATCATCAGCTTTCTTCTTCGTGGTTATTTTTGCCGGTTGACTATCTGGGGGTTTTGACCCCAGATTGGGAATTTTCTTCGGTTTATTCATGAGGAATTCTAGACTTCTTATTCAATACTGGTTTTCAGGATTTTTCAGTTTATCAAAATCTCACAAATCACAATAAGGTTTGTAGCCTTTGGTTCAAGGAACAGTTTCGTCACTTTAATTACCGTCACCGAACGATCACCACAACCACACCTAACAGCAATCCACACACAAGAAGAGACCGATTGACGCGCCGCGACCTCCTAAGATAACTACGTGTCGCGGTCACGTCAACGCGTAGCAAAGCGTTAGGCTTAAACCTCGGTACATTATGTACATACACCCCTCTGCAGTTACTACATCGACAAAATTTCCCTTATAATAAAGGCTTTACTTGATAATAGCAATGAATATCGAACGGGAAATTAAGATATTTAATAGGGAGCAATCGATAATTTGGTTATCGCTGGTCTCGTGGGAAGCCCGTACCTTCTAGACTCGAGGTGGCACCACTTTCGGTTGGCCGCAACGTTGCATGTAGATTTTAATGCTGCTCTCAAAGACCGATGCGTCTAAGCGTGAACGACGTAGTTTCCCTGGTCACAGGAAATCACGACTCAGCAGCATACAGAAATAATTACTTTACGAAAGCATGGAAGCCATCACGGGTTATATTTCACATAAAATATTTCATTTCATCGCTGCGCATTATCGATCCCTAGCTCGGTGCACGACATTTGGAGATTTTGACGCGCTCATAACGGTCGGCAAAGTCACCACAGGCGGTATACACCACAGGCGGTAAAGTCACCACTGGCGGTAGAGTCACCACTGGCGGTAGAGTCACCACTGGCGGTAGAGTCACCACAGGCGGTAGAGTCGCCACAGGCGGTAGTCACCAAAGGCGGTAGTCACCACAGGCGGTAGTCACCACAGGCGGTAGAGTCACCACAGGCGGTAGTCACCACAGGCGGTAGTCACCACTGGCGGTAGAGTCACCACAGGCGGTAGAGTCACCACTGGCGGTAGAGTCACCACAGGCGGTAGTCACCAAAGGCGGTAGTCACCACAGGCGGTAGAGTCACCACAGACGGTAGAGTCACCACAGGCGGTAGAGTCACCACAGGCGATAGAGTCACCACAGGCGGTAGAGTCACCACAGGCGATAGCGTCACCAAAGGCGGTAGTCACCACAGGCGGTAGAGTCACCACAGGCGATAGCGTCACCAAAGGCGGTAGTCACCACAGGTGGTAGTCACCACAGGCTATAGGTTCAGCGTACAGAAGAGGTGGCACAGGCGCCAGCTGGTCGCTGATGTAGAGGTAAATCCATGGCCTGTGGAGTAGGATTAGAGTGAGCCCTCATTTCGAGACGCTCTATAGCAGGTTTAAGGCTAACAAAAATACGAAAAAAGGGGGATAAGTTGAACTTTTGCATAGACAAGTGACAAGATCTATAGACACTTGTTGGTGAAACTGCTAGGTGATGAAACTCGTAGAATTTGTATCGGGTGAAGTGTAGCGACCATACTGGCAATTTATTCTCAGATTAATATTGATTGACACACTGGACGTGCGCTCCTTCATATTGCTGAGAAATCAAGGAAATAATCTAAATAACTTTTAATTTTGTTGCATGGAGAATTCACCAAGAAACTTGGGAACGCATGTTTTTTCTAACAGTTTGGTATAGGTTGGGGGAGAGTAGCCAGGGTTTGCTCTCAACGCTGATGGTGCCGATGCCTAGGCTGATTATTATCCCTACAAAAGTATAAGGGCTGGAACTCGATGTGTTCATTCGTGCTTGGGGGCTGGTAAAATTCAGCGTAGCTTTGCTGGGTAACGAAATGAAAGGCAATGCAGCAAGATGCAGAATTTTGAAGGGGATCGAGCACCATTCTTGCAAATTTAACACATTTTGACGAGTATTAATTTTCTGTATCCAACCGTCATAGATGGACACTTGATTTAGTAATATTTCAGCAATTCTATTGTGTTTCTTAAAATGTTTTCCTAGTCGTTGAATGGCTAAACATTCAACAGTTCACCATTGTCATTTATAAGTGGTTTAGGATTACTAACATCGAGAAGCGCAGTAGAAGTTGGGAGAAGCGCAGTAGAAGAATGATAATAAGTTTCACCTTCCATGATCTAAAAATACCAATCTCTTCAATTTAAAAAACTATGACAGTCCAGTCCTACGCACACACGGAACACTCCCTCCTCCTCCGCCCACCCACCCGTCGACCTCGGCGCGCGTGTCGCCCTCCTCCCGCGTCCGGACGCGCTGCTCGTGAAGAAGGACCAGCAGACGCTGCACCTCCGGGGGGCTCAGCGAGCAGTACCGCAGCCACAGCTCGCCAAACCTGAGACCAGAACATGAGCTCCTCAGAGTCGGAGTTGTCGCGTGAGAGGCGCTATTTATCATACGCAAACTTCAACGCTGCAGTTCGCCTCAAACTTCAACGCTGCAGTTCGCCTCAAACTCCAACGCTGCTGCTCGACACAAACTCCAACGCTGCAGTTCGCCTCAAACTTCAACGCTGCAGTTCGCCTCAAACTTCAACGCTGCAGTTCGCCTCAAACTCCAACGCTGTTCTTCGACACAAACTCCAACGCCGCAGTTTGCCTCAAACTCCAACGCTGCAGTTCATTTCAAACTCCAACGCTGTTCTTAGACACAAACTCCAACTCTGAAGTTCGCCTCAAACTTCAACGCTGCTGATGAAATCTAACGCTGCTGTTCGTCAAACGCTTCGCAGAAAGCTAAACTATAACGACCCAGACTAAATCATGCAGACTCCCTTCCGAATTTCAAAATATATATTCTGTTTACAAATAACTGCATAAACTTAATTCAGTTGCTCAAAAGAATGACAATATAGCTTATTTGCTGTTATTGGTCAGATCTTGTCGAGAAAATTTTTTAAAAAATATTGCAATATTACTTTCGAATGATATACCATTGCTTCATCTACTAGTTTGTTCGAATCGTTTTACTGATAATGGATCACTTCAATACAAGTCATTGTATCGCAGAGGGCTGGAAGAGAGGCTGACCAGAGCAGTTGTTTCGTATCTCTGTCGAATAGTTCATAACATCCTCTTCTTCCTCTACACGAATGACATTTTATTACGAATAATTTGATCCAGGACCTAACGCCGCCAACAAGACCTGCTGTGGCATGCATCTGCCGGCAACAAGACCTGCTGCTGGTCGCACCTGCCGGCAACAAGACCTGCTGTGGCACGCACCTGCCGGCAACAAGGCCTGCTGTGGCACGCACCTGCCGGCAACAAGACCTGCTGTGGCTCGCACCTGCCGGCAACATGACCTGCTGTGGCTCGCACCTGCCGGCAACAAGACCTGCTGTGGCTCGCACCTGCCGGCAACAAGACCTACTGTGGCTCGCACCTGCCGCCAGGAGGGACGAGGGACGTGACGGTCCGAGCGACGGCCTCGCAAGACCCCAGGTAGGCAGACTCCACCACGAGCTCCGGCAGCGGCGCCGCTGGCAGAGCCCACTTATGGGAGAAGGTGTCGAGAGGGCGCGTGTACACTCCTGTGAGGCAAGCATACATGTAAAATGCCAAATCTTAAACTTACCATAATAATTCAAAATTACCTCGCTAAAGGCATAGCCATAATAATATACGTTTAAAAATTACTTTTTGGAGACAACACTTCTAAAGAATCCAGTGTTTCCAATGATACAGATGTAGAATTGAATTTCTAATTCTATTTTCGAATAGTAAAAAAATGAATTTTCAAATTTTTTAAATATATAATTTTTTTTTCAAAATTATTTATTCTGTCAATTGATTCAAACATTGCCTCCAACTTCACACAAGTGTGAAAATTTCAGATCAATTGGACTGGTAAAAGTGTGTCAAATATCAATTATAAGATTTGTAGATGACAAAATTATTTTTTCATTTTTTTAGTTTTGACAAAAAATTCTAATTTTAAAATTATTTATTTTGTCATTTGATTCATGCATTGTCTCCAACTTTACGCATGTGTGCAAAATTTCAGATCGATAGGATAAGTAGAAGTGTGTCAAATTTCCATTGTAAGATTCGCAGCAGACGGACAGACAGACAGACAAACAAAAATATGCCTTTAAAAATTACTTTTTAAAGACAACACTTCTGAACAATCCAGTGTCTTTGATGTTACACATGCACAATGAATTTCTAATTTTATTTTAAAATATTGAGAAAAAATTATTTTTCAAAATTTTTTTATATCAAAATTTTGTAAATTTTCAAAATTATTTATTCTGTCAATTGATTCATGCATTGTCTCTGACTTTATGCAATTGTGCAAAATTTCAGATCAATTGGACAGGTGAAATTGTGTCATATATGGATTATAAGATTTGTAGCAGACGAAATTATTTTTTAATTTTTTAAATAATGAATTTTTTTTAATTTAAAAAATTATTTATTCTGTCAATTGACTCATGCATTGTCTCCAACTTTTCGCAAGTGTGTCAATTTTCAGATCAATTGGACAGGTAGAAGTGTGTTAAATATCGATTATAAGATTTGTAGCAGACAGACAGACAGACAAACAAACAAACAAGAAGTGAAGTTAAAGAGAAGTGTTGTAAAAAGTGAAGTTAAAGAGAAGTGTTGTAAAAATAGTAGTGTTTTTAGGGACAAGAAAAAGTAACGGAAATCGTCCTAAAAAGTACTCGGAAGCTCTAAATCTCTAAAACGGTTCGTTAAGGTATAGGCTGACTGTCTTATAAAGGTGCGTTAAGGTATTGGTTGACTGTCATATGTAGGTACGTAAAGGTATAGGCTGACTGACATATGTAGGTCCGTTAAGGTATAGACTGACTGTCAGAGCTGGGCAGCGCTACCTGGAAATGTAGCGGCGCTACCGCTACCGCTACATGCTCTAAATGTAGCGGGCGCTACCGCTACCGCTACATGCTCTAAATGTAGCGGGCGCTACCGCTACCGCTACATGCTCTAAATGTAGCGGGCGCTACCGCTACCGCTACACCCACTAGATTGTAACGGGCGCTACCGCTACCGCTACACCCACTAGATTGTAACGGGCGCTACCGCTACCGCTACAGTAAAATGTAGCGCGCTACATTAGCCGCTACAATGGCCAAAATTATTGGAAATCTGTAAATATTTATTGTTCTGCTATTGGGATTTACTCATTAACATTTAAAATGTAGCGGTAGCGCTGTAGCGGCAAAACCTCGTATCGCTACTTAAATATGTAGCGAGCGCTACCGCTACCGCTACATTGCCTTAAATGTAGAGGCGCTACCGCTACCGCTACTGAAAATTAGCGGCCGCTAGTAGCGGCCGCTACATGTAGCGCGCTACTGCCCACCTCTGCTGACTGTCTTATGTAGGTGCGTTAATGTGTAGGCTGACTTGACCTATGCAAATCCTTCAGTTCAGTGGCGAATGGGAAAAATGGCTGGGTTGGCGGTGGATCGCACTCGTGAGTTATAAATGTAACGTTACTCAGAAGCTACGCATTTTTATTTCATATCTGGAAGAAGTAACATGTTTAAATGTGAAAAAATACGGGTGAGGTTGAAGCTCCACTCGTACATGGTAAATATGCTTCGTGATGGAGGACATGGGGCAAATTACTATTAGTCATGGATACTTAATCTTGTACATCAATTTTAGCCGATATTTTTCCTCTATTGTGCAACTCTATCATTGACAACAAAATGGCAAGTCAGAAATTTGGTAGTTCAGTGGGAAGGTGAACAAAACGCTCCCGAAGACCTAAACACATTTTCACGTAGTCTCAAAAAAAAATAAAATTTAACTATGGTTAATTGTTATTTCGTACCACAAATTACATTCAGTACCAGAAGGGAAAATGCACCGCCAAAATGAACAAAATCATCGGTAATTAATAGTCCCTAGAATTTGAGTTCTGGAATTTTATAGGAATACAGCAGAACCCTTGTATGCTGCAAATCATCACCAAAACACATAACAGCCGTCAAATCAAAAACGATTGATTAAAGCTAGTATGCCTGTTTTGAATAAGGAGACAACAGGACAAAAACATTCGCATCGAAAGTTCTCAGTGGACTCACTGAGTTCAGAGTACTTCCCGCTGAGTGCACTGAGGTCCAGAGGCTCGGCCATCCTGAGGAAGATCTGCGCTGACTGCGCCACTGCGGCTATGGCTGCCACTCCAGCCGGGGTGCCCACACCCCCGAAGAAGTGGACCAGAATCATCCTGTCATAAAAGAGCTCATGTGACCAAATTACACCTAATCTGATCATTAACAGCGACATAAAAGAAAGGTTACAAGCTATTAAAACGGCCACGATCTCGTGGAAGGATCAATACTTAATAGATCAAGTTGTTAATGGTGATCGTGTAGAAGATGTTGAACATGATGCTAGAAGTGCGTCCTTTCCTACACTAGAAGTTTGTGAATGAGATTGCAGGAAATATCGATGCTCATTCAAATGTATTCAGCTGGGAAAATCTGAAACTGGATATGAGTAACAAGAAGTCACTTTTAATGAACTCCTCAGTGCACACAGCACAAGTACAGGTGCTAATACAGTCTTATAAATTGTATCGTCGAGTAAACATCCACTTCAAAGTTTCAGTATCCAAAAGAGATAGAGGCGCATCTGAAAATGACATTGATTTGATGTTTGATATTTTATAAATACTGATACGACATGTGTTAAACAGTTAAATAATCAAATAATCACCCTTGATAAAAAATTATTATTACGGCGAACGAATTGATATTTGCTGAACGGTTCCTGGAAAATTGTTTATTTTTTGCGTTGTTTCTTCTACATAAACCGAGGTGTGACGAACTGATCTTGATTCCCCGAAAAGCCAATCGCGTCACTTCAAAAGTTCGGATGGTCTAATTGCCACGTCCACCAATGACCGGAAATTAAATGCAACTTCCGTCTTGGCCTGAGCGGCAAAAGTTTGAACCGAGCGGATAGATAACTCAAACAAGCTTTCTTAAATTTATTGGAAGTAAACGGCAAGCTAAAGCGAAGCAAATTACAACTAACGATTTTACAGAGGTGTGGCACATGAATTAAGCGAACTAACAAATTGAATGCGGAGGAAGCTAAAGTGTGAGGAGAGCAAAATGCGAGCAGAGAGCTAGAGCATGGTGATCTGAGAATAACGCACGATCCTACAACAGAAACCAAAAGTAAATACCTACAAATAACAAATCATCATAATCACACAAATCACGATATTTCACCAAGTAATCATATTTAAATTTCACCACTATCGCACGCAACTCACCCTGGCATCTGAGCCAAAATCCTATGAGAAAGGAACCAGTATGCAAGTCGGGATCGGTATCGTTTCTGACAGCTATAACCAATTCAACGTCCACATCAGAGCCGGTCCTACTTAATCTTTGTGGTCTCACAGCAAGTAGTGGAAATTTGCTTTAAACTTCATTACACGACACGAGGAAAATAGACGCATTGAAAAATGATTGGTTTAAAAGGACGATGGAGCTTCACTTGTTGGCCCCAATTCCACGAAAAAGTTACTAGGCGATCGGTGCTGATGCTTTGCTATCAAACGGTTAATTAAAAGGATTGAATTACGATATTTGAGTAGAAGTCGTTAAGAGGAATATACTAACTAGCCACAAGCCTCTGGTTGCTTATTCCCAGTCGAGTTTCTCGTTCCATTGGGGGCCGCCCTAAAGAACAGACAGTCAGATTATAGGTGACTCAGGCGCCTACCGCCCACCTAACTGCAATCAGGGGCGATATATGAGCCGACTGGGGAGTCGATTGCCTGATAGGCCGAATATACGTAATCAGACTGAAAAAAGCAGCTGGTCAGGCTTCTGTGGTCAGACGCTGATATTTGAGCGAGCCTTGGCCATCTCCCGCTCATCATTTGGCATCGATGTATGTACACGCATACGTTTGTGAAGGCATACGATGGAACGAAATGAGAATTTATTTTACCAATTTTTTAAGCTAGTTTGGACAAAAAAAATATAGGATTAAAGGACAAAAATATCCGGATTTATTTGGCTTTATCTTTAAAAACCACAGGATGCTTGAAGGCATGGAAATATGATTAAGAGGTGCAGGAGCAGAAAAATACTTTATAACTACTGGTAAAAAAGTAATGCTTTTAGCTCCAAGATATAAATTTCAAATTTTTATCATAACATTCATAACTTTTATGTAAGCTGTTAATTGGCAGAAAAAGCAACAGATGAACGTTCGGTTTTGCATTCAAGTCCTACAAGTATTTTATTAAATGTTCAGGTCGCTATAATTTGGGATGAAACTGCTTAATATTGTGATGACAGTGCATTGCCTTATAACTGGCATTCAACAATGTACCTTTATGTATTTCAAAATTTCAATATTTTCAGGTGAGGTTCACATACATCCTTCAGTGAATTATGATCGTTATATTCAATGGCGGTTACTGGGCGTTACTGGGCGTGAGTGTCATACATAACGTACATAATTCTGCTCAGGCACCTAACTACTTTTTTGAAAAAATTAGTAAGAATTTGGTCATTAGTTCAAACAACCTCGATGACAAAACCTGGTCAATGCTTGATGGTTCTTGTTCCTCATAGTTACTTTATCGTGTTCACAGGGAAAAATTTGTTGTTAGCTTCGTTAAATGTTTAAATATTATTCCTGTTGAACGTGATGCAGCTTGTGGGAGTGAGTAGCGTACAAGACGCAACACGTTCGTTTGCTTGCCGGCGCCCAGCGTTAGTTCGCTAGTGGTACTAGTGATTATCACGCGTTGAACGGCGAACGTTGCTCATTTCAATCCTGTAATCATAGTGGGAAAAGTGAACTTATGAAGTATTAGACTTTAAAATTATAGATTTTGAAAGCTGAACTTTATTAGAAACTAGAAATTTCCAAGTTGTCCTGTACAATGGTTCTTCAAGCCGAGTTCATTGAAAAAGACGACACCGATATCTGCACTACGCGCGAATATAGTCGGCATGACACCATGATGCCAGTATTCTACTTAGGCAACTCAGTTGAGCTTCAAAGATTTTGGAACTGGCAGTAATAGAAATTTTTAACTTGAGTTATGTGCTGACATGAACATGTTATTTTAGCTGCTCGTGTCCATATACTTAAGATTTTAATCTATAATTCATCGAGAAAGCTGGATCCAAGTGTGAAAATGTCAGTTCACTCAAGAGTTCGACTGCATGGTGGGGTTTAGTCTTCACCTGTCAAGCAGTCACCGTACCGCTGCAAGAGAAACGCGTACAAACAAGGATACAAATAGTGACTCAACTCCGTAAGTAATCAAGTTACTCGTTCTCTGTAATTATATGCTTTTTTTCATTGTATCATTGAATTTGGGACCACAGTGAAATCTAAGTACCGTACCCTATTATGAATTGGGCGATTTTATAAGAATTACAAATTATTGGTGGATAATTTTCCGAACTTTCCATTGAACATAGTAATGTTAGGAAGTTCACAAGTTCCAACTGGAATTTCGATGGTCGATGGTAGCATTTGATATATTCTTCTTCACAGTCATTGCAGGCAGAATTTTATAGACTCGTGCAAATCAATTCGATTAGCCGTACATACGATCGACGTGTCGTAAGATAACGAGTCGTTAGCAAATTACACTGGATGTGAATGCGCGCGGTTGTCGTCTCACCCTGAATTAAATTACAGCGAACAATTAATTACGTTTTATGTACTTCGTACCTAGAAACACAGGAATTACCTACCGTATTTAATTTGCGCTGTGTTAAAACAGTTATAATTGAGCCCTGCAGATACTAAATACACTTGGCTGTTTTTTGCAAATATTTTGGGAGAACTTTGAGGATTTATTTAACTGTTTTTTTGCCGCAGAATGCTTAACAGTTTATGTGAAAGTGATTGTTTAGTGACTGAGAATATTAAAGAATGTTTAATAATGGTAAAGGTGAGAGAACGTTTTGCTCTGCCGTATGTGGAAAATGTTTGGTGCCCGCAATGGGTATGAATGTTTGGTACGGGTGAATGTGTTAGAATGTTTCGTACATGGATAATGTGGGATAATATTGAGGGGAGTTGAATATTGGAGAATGTTGATAGTTGAGTGCTATAGCATATTGGAGAATGCTGATCGTTGAGTGCTATTGCATATTGAAGAATGTTTGGTTTTGGGCAATGTGTGAGAATGCTCACTGCTGGTGAATATTGAATATTGTATTGCTCGGGCAATGTGCGAGGGTCTTGCAAATCTGGTAAATATTAGGGAATGTTGTGGGTAATGTGGAAAGTTGGGGTTGAAAGTTGTATTAACTGATATTATTTCCATTTCAAACTCGTGTTTACTTGCCACTTGCTTCATTGTGTCACGATATCTAGTCTGCTCATATATACAGTATATATATAGCTTACAGTGATTCAAATGCCACCTCCCTTCCCATCATAAAGAGGGTAAGGGAGGACGCATTTTTCAGATTCGGGCGTGTCTGTCCCGAACGTATCAGGTACCAAATACGCGCGCCTCGCAGTCGCCCCTCGGGTGTCAAGGAACAGACCGGACCCTAATCAGATGCTTATTTCCCTCGTATAACCAGAACCTGAAGCGGACATAGAGCCGCTAATTTACACCGCTAGGCGAGCTTGGGGCGTCCTTTAGCCAGCGGCTGTCAGGAATCAAAACTTTAGATAGGGTTGCTGACCATAAATAGAAGAAACATTGGAATGGCTCTGCTCTCACTTGCTTCTGAGCAGAGGCGTCAAGAGGTCGTCGCTGGGGTCGTACCAGTCGCCACCCTCGTCCTCCAAGTACAGCACCACGTCGCCCACGCGACGCGCTACAACCTCTGCCCATTGCGACGTCCTCAGCCTCCCCGGACTCATCCGCACCCTTAGCTTCTCAGGCTGCACGTAGGACAGCATCAGAGCAACGGCTGCAACGTCGCGGCCTGCGGGCGTGAGAACCATAGAGACTTTCTTTTCTGGATTAGAGGAATAAACATTTTTTAATTACATTTGTTATTACTTTACGTCACATGAGATTGGTTCACTGTCACTGTTGCACATTGAGAGAAGTTTATTATTTAAATACTGTGGTATCGGTAAGGGTCAAATTAGCAAGAAACTACAAATGACTTTACCCTATCATATTATACAAGTATGTTCGTTTCTTACAAAATTTGTGGGCTGGTATTCCGAGTCGTCTGTATTGTGGCTAGATTGGCTCAATCGATTAGCTGTGACGAACCGACCTAAGATATACAATAACCGGCCCTATCGCCTGCAAAATTTACAATAGATCCCTTGCCACGTCTTCCTATGACCGGAAGCTATTGATAAGATGATTCCCATTGGCTAATCAGTAAAGCTTTAGGCTGAACTGCAGTTAAACGCAAATTTCAACAGCTAAATTCAATATATTTGATGATTACCGGCATACAAAATATTCTTAATCGAATTTGACATGAGAGAACTAGAGCTGGGAGTGAGAGCACAATAACAATTACGTGATCCTGAAACCGATAATTTAAATATAGGCATAAACTTGACTTAACTAATATTTTGTTCATAAATTACATATTATAAAACCATGTAAAATCCTGACACTGTTACACGCCACTACTTACTCTCAGAGTCAAAACTTTAACATAGGAACTATTGCGTCGGTCCGCATCATGCGGCCAAAACTGACGGCTACCAAAAAATTATACATACGTCTGAGCAGGCCAAGATCAATCTTGTTCCTCTAAATACAAGTGGGGAATTTATCGAGGAGATCATTGACTCAAACATTGCTCATGTAGGCCTTGAAGAATAGGCCTGATGAGGCCTGTCGCCGATATTTTGTGGTAACACACTTCTGACGGGGTAATATCCACATGAGTCTGAAGCGTTTCCTGACGAGCGAACATCGCATTGAACGCAAGTGGGCGCCACCGACCCGACTCTACATTCCAGGCAGTGGAGTGGGCGAGCGTTGCAGAGGCGGCGATCTCCGCCACCTGCGCGACGTCTGGGCAGCGCAGGAGGCACGCCTGCCAGTGCAGGTGGGTGGTGACGCCGGCGCTGGCCAACGCCTGCCGCAGCTCTGGCCAGCGGCTCACGAAGTGGCGGCGGCTGCTGCTGCTCAACTCTTGCACCGCGTACTGCAGCACCTCCAAGTAACTGGAAATGGCCTTCACATTCAGGGTATATCAGGTGTGTCATCGGAAACAAGCAGTTTTTCCTTAAATTCTCCCAACTTGCCTTGACGTGAATATTTAAAAACCTCTACATTTAATGGTCGCGCGGATTACATATGTAATCCACGTGGATTACATATGTAATCCACGCCTCTGAAAAACAAACCGTAATGAAACCAAACGAGAATGTGAAAAAGTCAGTATTTGAAGTCAGTTTTTGAACGCGACAACGGCAGGGTTAAAAAGTTTACCAAAAAGCGTTGCCAAAGCTCAAATATTACGAACGTTATCAAATCGATACTTTCTACGAACGGCGCACAGTCAGCCAAAATGAATTTTCCAGGCTTCTTTTTGGTCGGAACTCAACGTTAAAGAATAAATATCGTCACAGGAGCAAAACACGCTTAAAAGCATAGAAATTAACTGCTGGTCTTTTACGTTTAAACTAAGGAGCTTGCCCAATAGATGTGATAGAAATAAATTTTTATAAATTTTTATTTTTCAGCAATGAACCATGAGCCCCTGAATTTGAATTATCGAATTACTGCTCAGAAACCTGTGGTATACTTATTTTATTAGAACCACAATCTACGTAATCGTGCTGAAAACTTCAGCGCCGAACGCAAGGCACAACTCCGATATCTCAGCAGACAGACCACAGCTTGTCGGCGAGTCGATGGAACAGACCACTGCTCTCCTTCCCCTAAATTACGAAAGAAATCTTACGGCTCTAGAGGAGGTGGCGACTGCAGGCCAGGCTTGGCTTGTCCCACGAAGCGGTGCCACAAGCCCAGCACTCCCGCCCAGCGCTGGTCCCGTTCTCCGGCTCTGACAAATGACGTCAGAGGTGAGCCGTGACTCCCATAATAGGCAAGGATAAGGCAGTTTCTGATCAATTCCTATAGGATAAATCAAGAGGGATGCCCCGGAACAGAGGAGACGTGCTGTGAGGCGTTATGGTCAACAAATGATTCCACTGCAATAACGAGATGGTCAAAACCTGGCGACTATTATTATGTCAAATTCTCACCTAGAGGCGGAAATCTTTGTTCGTGGTAAAGTAATGAAGATTTTGATTGGTTTAATCTTACGAATACTGATATTGCTCGAAACGCGAAGTTTATTAATGTTGACATTGTAAATTGGTATAAAATGTTGTAAAGGTGTCAGGTTCGAATCGTAATAACAATGAAAAAGGTTAGATACATTTTTATTTTATCCTGTTCAGTAATCTTTGGCTTCAATTATAGCAGGCATACTTCACGTCGCTCTACTTGAATGCCAAGTTGAGTTAATTCATATTTTAATCAGCGCATGCAACCGTAACATTCCTTCAGGCCGTCACATCTGTTCCAAGCCGGGCCTTCCCAAAGACATCATCAACCTCACCCGACAGCGAGACATCCTCCGTGCCGCCGACCCCACTTCCGACGATGTAGCAGCCCTCACTGCCTGTATCCACCAGCTCACCAACGACAACAAAAAAGCCCGCTGGTAACAATACCTCTCTACCTCTAACCGCCACAGCAACGTAAACCGCCTCTGATCAACAATAAAGGCCCTGGTCGGTAAACCTAAAAACTACCCCAATATCACCATCAACTTCAATGAGAGGCCCATCAATAACACCAAAAAAAGCTTGCTGATCGCTTTAACAGTCTCTTCACGGCTGTCACTCAACACAGGTCTAATAAAATCAATAGAATCACAACCCGGAAGTCAAAGAGCCTCGACCTATCTGACAGTCCCTCCTTCTCATCGGCACAAGTGGCCAAAGCAATCAAACAATCCCGTCCCTCCAAGGCCACTGGACCAGACAAACTAACCATCTTTCACCTCAAATATCTTGGACCACTCGGAATTGTTTACTTGACACGCCTTTTCAATGAGTCCCTCCGCACATGTCGAATTCCCGACATTTACAAATCCGCCAAAGTCATACCGCTGCTCAAACCCGGCAAACCGGACAACGACGCTAAATCATACCGACCAATCTGCCTGCTTTTCCCCGCCATCAAAGTACTAGAAAGATGTTTGCTACCCACTATCACCCAACACCTGCGGTTCTGCCTCAACGGAATTCCGTCATCAAAACTCTAAACACCGATTAATCCACACAGGTGTTCCACAAGGCTCCGTCCTGTCTCCTGCCCTCTTCAATTACTATATCTCCTAGGCACCCCAACCACCACCCAACATCAAGATTATCTCCTACGCTGACGATTTCACAATCTACAGCACTGGTCCCGACGCCGACATTCTCACTCAGCAACTCAACGACTACCTCCCCCAACTCTGCAACTTTTTCACTAACCGCAACCTGGAAATTTCTGCCAGCAAATCAACAGTCACCCTCATTACACCGCACACGGCCAAGTACAATCACCACCCTCAAGTCAATATCAACAATCAACTACTCCCGCTAGAACACAGCCAAAAATTCTTTGGCTTAACCTTCGACACCATGCTCACCTTTACCGCCCACCACAGAACTACGGCAGCAAGAGCCTCAAAACGCAACAACATACTGGAAGCACTCTCAGGCACTTCCTTTGGACAAGACAAGGAAACCCTACTGCAAACATACAAAGCCATCGGCAGCCCAATAATTGAGTACGCCAGCCCAGCCTGGTCTCCTGTCACCTCTCCTACCAACATCACCCGCCTCCAAACAGTTCAAAATTCTGCTCTGAGAACCATACAGTTGCCACAACACAACTGCCGAATAACATCTTCACTCCGAATGTCAAATGCTCACTGTTCAACAGCATGCGGACCTCCTCTCAGCCCAGTACCTTCTGCGGAGTCAACTCCCTCAACACGCCTGCCACCAAATCACAAGACCGCACCCCCAACCCCGCAACGTCAGAGATACTCTTTTCACCAAATACATAAATGCCGTTCAACCTTCACTTCCAGCCACTATTAACAGTGCCACCCTCAAAACAGTTAGCGGCACTCTCCACTCCAACGCTGCCCGAGCTGCCATCGACTCATACCACCCACCAGTTCTGCTCAACGGCTGGCCTCCTCCGCTCCCAACAATAGATAAATCTGAACAAACCCTTCAAAGATCCGCTAGACGAACGCTAGCACAGCTTCGCTCCGGCCATTGCATACTTCTGAACAGTTACAAAAGCCGAATTCATAACAACATCAATAACCTATGCAACTACTGCCACCTCTCCCCGGATGATGTGCCCCACCTCTTCAACTGCCCCAACAATCCAACTCCACTCAGCACCATAGACCTTTGGAGGGACCCAGCTGCGGTCGTGCGTTGGCTCCAGCCACGGCTGGACCAGTGACGCCGGGATCGGGTGCGGGGCAACAACAACAACAACAATTCATATAATTAGAATAACATTCATTTAGGTTTATGATAGCGATAGAAGCGAATAAAACAATCGAATTTTTCTCACCGAGTTTCCACGACGTCTAAAGATTCTTGACCGCCCCTGGAGCATGGGCAGAACCGCGCTCCGGATATCCTGAGAGATGGAATAATATTACAAACACGTCAAAAAAATAAATGATTAGGCAGACGCAAGTAATGTATTTGAACGGAGTCAAACGGAAATAAAAATGAAACAATAGTCAAAAGAAATCAATCGCAAATGTTGAAAGTAGAATACTTCAAGTAATGAAAATTTAGAAGTACGTTTAACGTACGAAATACGTTTAACAGAATAAAATTAATTCAATGCTAAAATTGGAAAATAATCCATCAAGAAGGTGCTCAAGGAAGCTCAATAATAGAACGAAAGTTTTATTAGTGATCAATCCGTCCCGAAGGTATCAATTAAAGCCGGATATAGATTTATCATTATATATACTCGAAAAAAAAACTTATATTATTCGTGCGTCTTATATTTACAGTTATTATAATTTCGTTACCAATGAATCCATAACCTGAAAGATGAATCAAGCGTTTAGTTTTCATCCGAGAAAAAAGTTGGAACTGAAAAAGAATTATCACTTCCTGTTATTGATCTACCATCAAGCTGTATGTTTGGAATTAAATTTTCAGCTCACCGGCCGAGTTGATTGCCGAGTTATATATGCAATGACATGAATGTCTTGCAGACAACTTACCAATTTCTTTTTATTGACGTAAGTCCCAGAATTGAGTTGATGGAGTCGTTGCATGACAAAATACGTTGGACGATATACTTGCCGGCGAAAATTTCCTGCACAGATTTGTGATGAAAAGTGTACGTGATGCCTCCTTTCCCAGAAAAAGGTCTATGCACTTTCAAAACCACTGAAAGGAAAATTTCTGCGTCGATATCGCTGATACCTTCGGCAGATTTTAACTGAAAGTTACACATTTTTTTGATGGAGCGGAATTCTTCTTCAGAAAAACTCAATGTATTACTCTTGAGAAAATCCAATGCTGCAGCACCGATGCATAGAAATTGATCGTCAACCAGGCCTTCAAGGTTAATATAATTCGAATCCACTATCTTCGTCAGGACAAGAGTTTTGTACAATAAGAAAATGTCGCTCGCCACGTCCGCGAACGTTTGCCACAAGGGTATCTTCTCAGGAAAGTGCCTACACAAGTGGCAGAAAAGGAGTAAATTTAAAGGCTCCGTGAATAAACTTCGAACATTTTTATCCAGCAACGAAAAACTTCTGCACAACTCTCCACTTCGGTTGCTTCCACCGTGGTACTCTTCGTACCTTTCTAAAAATTTTAGTTGGTTTTCTAGCTTGATGAGTGGCAATATCTCGCACTCCGTATGGCAGATATCGTTTTTAGACAAGATAAGTGCCAGCTGCTTCACGAAATGTGGTCGAGTCGTGATGACAACTCGGCAGTTGCTCCGCCACGTCTTTTTGATGATCTCCATCACGACGTTTGAAGAAACTTTGTTGATTTCGTCGAAGCCGTCAATGAGAAATATGACATCAAGATGTAGCAGAGCCCTAAGGACGTTTTCTTTTCTTATGTTGCTGCATAGATCTTCAAAATGATGCTCGATAACTTCACTCAGAGTTTTTGTGGAGCGATCCCTGCACTCGAACAGGATGAGCTGGTTGAAAGGTTGCAGGTATTTTACCTTAACCTGCTGGAGCTCAAAAAATTGAAGTGTGATGTTCTTGAGGAGAGTCGTCTTGCCGGCTCCAGCCACGCCCGATATCACGATGAACTTCTCACAAACCTGGAAAATTTCAGTGTAAGGAATAACATTTCCACTAGCGCCAAGTTTTAGCATCAGTTCAAGTGGGTGGAATACGGCTTGTCGATGTACTTTTTCATTGCTAAACATTAGGACCTCACTGGATAACCGGGTCTCCCAGAGAATTCTCACAGCATTTTTCCCGCTTGTTGCTAACCTGGAGCATGTGTAATAAATAACCTGCTTTTCTGGAGCCAACCGCCTATCAATGTCGTCTTGTAGCTCTTTTTCTAGAGCTTCAACCTCAGCTTGAGGAAGAGAATAAAACAATTCCGTTTCTCTCACTAGCTCCAATAGCGCTGTTGTCAAGTCACTAAATTTTTGTGGGTCTGCAGTGGCCGCCATGTTGTGCATGACTTCATTTCGCAGGTCTTTGACGACCCGCAATTTGTTCATCATACCGGTAATATCCCGGGTGCCATTATCGGCTGCGCGAGCGAAAAGATTCTCAAGTAAACAGAAGAGATCCGTAACGTCCAGGTTATCAGGATTTCGGTCAGTCTGTAAAACATTCCGTGATATCCGAAATGCGTCTTTCCATTCTTTATTACTGAAGGGACTTCCCCGCAGGCGTTCCATGTATTGCCTGTAGGTTTCATCGATCGCCTTGCCATGGCATTCTTTCCTGACTATAAAGCGCATGATTTTGGGACTCAGGTACATGTTGCCGAAAAAATTGCTGTAAATCCCGGCCATTTCGTCAGCCAAATCGACTGATGACAGAAGAGAGCCTGAGGTACCGGCGACTTGTGTTGTGGTGGCCATATTGCGAAGGTCTGTCAATGAAAAATACATAAGAAACCATCTTGAGAAAGTAGAGCTCACAAAAATGTGAGAAGAAAGTAGACAATTTTTAAATGAAAGCCATGAAATTAAGAAGATTTCTAATTCAAATTAATGAACTTTATCTGCCTCTTAATCTTTTAATTTCTTTTTAGCCGCCGTATAATTATAAGCAACTAACCAGCAAAGAGAAATTGCAGACAATGTGGTGAAGAACGACTAGAGTGGAAAATTATTAGTGCTTCAAATAAGATGCAGCGATGCGTTCACTGCGTGAGAATGCTGTCACCAGCGCGGCCTGGAAATGATACAAAATTGAAGAGAACCTAACGAAGAAAAATGAAAGAAGTGGAGCTCAAGTTGGTTGCGCTGGTCAGTTAGTTTTAGAGTTAAATACCTCGTCATTACTAGTATACTTGTCAACAAGGACGCGTTTGAAACTCTACGCTTGCATCCATCACATCCGGTGCGATGTTACACTAGCAATCCTGCCGTGAAGGTCACTCAGTCGCCACTGCACTGCACCTAATTCGCGCCTATCAATATAACAATACGATGCTGGTCACAAATTATTGGCTGTATATGAATAATGGAAAAAATACTTTTAAGTATAATCCAAGTACATCTCGTAACAAATGCATTGAAATAATAAGCAATACTTCACTCACATCATTGGAATATCGTGTTCATAAGTTTAGGTGCATATCTCCTGTCATATCAGCACAGGAAGCTGCAACAGCAGCAAAACATGTTATGTGCTAAGCAGCTCGGCTAGAGGTGATCATGCCTGAAGTTGAGCGAATGCAATACATAATGCTGAACAAACTAATCCAATCTGATCACTTGGTGAAAGGAGGTAATAGAATGAACATGCAACCAACAGAAATGTGGCACAGGTCTACCAAAGCTAAATTCGTATTATTCGTAATTTTCTAAATTCGTATTATTCGTAATTCGCTAAATTCGTATTAAACGCATTCTTTAACAATCTAATCTAACTAATCTTTACGAATCTTTATACTTCATCGCCTACAAACGCTGACTGACCGATTAAGTCTTCAGGGAAACTAACGCAAGGTCATGTTGATGAAGAACACTTATATTTTATTTACAAAATTGCACGCTGAAGACTTGTCCGTTAGCAACAAATAAAGACTACTCGCCGAAGACTTGTCTGTTAACAACATGAAGACAGCGCGTGAAAGACAGCCATTAACAACATGAAGATAGCATGCATGCTGAAGACAATTCTTTTAATTAAATGCACTGCTTATTATGATGTGCTCGCGTTATCCGTCTTTGTGTCACTGCCTCCGGAGTGTTGTTTGTGCTTTTGTTCGCATGTGATAGCTCACTTGAGTACCTGAAGTGTTTCCAGCGTTACGAATTATAAAAGGAAATAAAATGTAAATAAACAATAAGCTTTTAAGAGTTATTTTTCATGAGCGAACTTGGATGCTCATCAAAGCTGGCAAAACAAGTATGAGTCGCTTGATATTTGGATGTTTTTCATATGTTGAACGAACTTTTACACCGATTATTTCATCGAGTAAGTAAGTTGTCTGCCTAGTAGCTATATGCGTATTTCTTCGCATCACAGTTACACTACTATATCTTTGATCACAGGGAATAAATTGTCAATATGGATGTTATCACCAGCAACACGCATACCTTCTCCTAACACAGCTCAGTAATGACTGAGCAGCTTGCAGGAGCAGGACTACAATCGCGATGTTACCATCGAAAAAGTATTTAATTTTTGCGTGAAATCATTGGTCTTTGGAAAAATAGAGAAAAATTTTAATTTATTCAAAAATAACAAGTTCATTATAGCACTTGCAAATTGCACACGGAAGTAACCATGTAAACGTTGGTTTGAATGAATTATTCTGTAATAAACCTTTCAATATTTAGAAAATTTCTACCGGGATTACAGAAACCAGAGTAGCTAGTTCGGGATGAAGGGATTTGCAACAACAATGTTTTTAACATATAACAATAAAGCAATTAGATATACCGTGGCTTGCAAAAGTATTGGATACATTGCAATATTCTTCATATCTCAAGTTAAAAAGCGAGATTTTTTATAATATTTGGTCAGTATATTGCTAATGGTGCTTTGAACACTATATAGAAAGGATATTGAAATGTATACATTGTTTAGATTTTATTAAACAAATAGAAAAATCAACCCACGCAGAAGTATTGAGTACATGTTCAAAAATAAAACAAATATAACTTTTTAAAGTACCCTCCTTTACAAGTGTTGCCATACCTCTTGTACAAGCGTGGCCAGGAAGCTGTGCGACGGCTGTGCCCTGAGGTACTCAAAATTCGCTTTTCACTTCAGACGTTCCACTAACCTCATAGCGTTATCTAATTGGCCAATCAGCCAATCAGAGCAGTTTGCTATTGTTTACGAGATTTTGTGTTCCGATGTAGATATTATTCAGCTTCATCTTTAAAATCTAATTTTAAATGGCTAAAACTCAAGAGTTGGCCACAGATTTGCATCAGAATATCATAGATTGTCACAAGAAACGGAAGGGGTATCGAATAATATCCAAAGAGCCTGATCTATCATTGAGTACAGTTGGAAATATCATCAGGAAGCAATCATCCCGATGATATCATCCAAGCATGCTGTTGCTAACCTTCCAATACCTGCTCGTCCTAAGAAAATAACGGACGGTAATGCAAGGTGGATTAACAGAAAGGTAGAGAAGAACCCCTTTGTTGCTGGTGGTGAAATTAAAAGCCACCTGGAGGAATCTTGCATTGATGTAGAAAAGGACACAATCAGCAGAGCTCTGAGGACACAATCACCACCACTCACCCCACCACCACTCATCGTCACAGTTGCTATCCCGCAATGCTATTGTTTGCTCATCAGGCAGCTAATGCAGCGCCTCAATAAACTCAACAAAATTCCACTTATTCAATGAAATGTCGACCGGGAAATTGTGGACGTTGCTCCCGCGGTGACGCGGTGTGCTGCTGTTGTGATGGCGAGCAAAGCCTGGCTTAAATACAAGACCATTTGGCAAATACAAGACCATTCAAGCCTTACCAAATATTATGATATCATATCGTCGTTAATTCAATGCTTCTTTTATTCTATATCACTTTCTTTCATTACCGAACCTACTGCCATGCCCTCTGGTCAAAGAGAAACAACAGTGTCACCCGTCGAAAAGTTTCTTTTTTGATCGTTCGATAAAATTTTCCTTCTGCATTTGTATCGCTAACTGAAATAAAATGAATAGATCATGTGATGACTGACCGTCGAGAAATAGTTTTAATTGAACTCGCAAGTCACAAGCAGGGGCCGGGAACTTGTTTTTTTACGCGTCGACCCTCGAGAGTATATTTGTGTTTACGTCGACCCTTCCATGTACACACCATACAAGGCAGTCAAGAAATGAATTGCGTCATTATTGACGTTTTTGATGATTAGAAATGAAGAGAAATGCCATAAAGATATAAAACAAACGAAGCTTATGGTGTTCCATACTCAAATTTTGGGAATATATTTTTAGAGAACAAGGCAGTCTACGCTGATATAAGGTAAAAATCAAAAGTAAGAAAACAGAACATAACAATTTTAGATTCTTTTGGAAGCTTAAAATATTTAGCGCTGAAAAATTTTGTACCATGAATTAAATATACAAAACTTATGGCAATGTAATAATCTTGGTAACTGCCATGGAAATTTGTTCTCTGTTTTTTCTCCATGCAAAAGGATGAGTAATGTAACAGTTACCTATTTATACATCCATACCTGATATTAACGAGTGTGATGAAGGCATCAAGGCCATGGATATTTGGTTCACATTTGGGGAACCTCAACCGTAAATTTATTTCTTCAAGTTTAAGTTTTTTCTCCGCTGTGCTAAAATCGCAAGGCTAAAATCAGCATCAAAATATATACAGCTAATTTAGCCTCGTACATTCTTAGAGTTGCTTTATTCTCCCTAAATATATCACTATTATATTGCATTATTAAAGCCCTTAATATTGCACTAATATATTGCATTTATTAAAGCTCATTATATTGCACTATTACATTGCATTATCAATTAAGGCCCATTATATTGCACAATTATACTCATGTATCAAATTATGAAAATTAAATTCTTACATACGAATTTTGGGATTGCAATTCTGAAAGCGCCACCGCTATTAATTTTTAATACACCACATTGCACATGCCAAAGCGCTCTATGATTATATAATAAAACAATATTCATATATGGACGCTTATAAAGAGGTTTATTTGAATTTTAATGAAGTCTCCATCATTTAAATCCTAATTTGGATCAAACCTATTTATTGTGTAATCAAATTTGATATTACCCAAACATGGGGTGGGACATCTTGACTTGCTGTTGATGTTCTGCCGAATCAAGTTTACGATGGCCAGTACAGAGCTGCATGGTAATGAACTGAACATAGGAGAAAATTTATGTGACAAAGTTGACACTGAGCATGGACTATTTCTTTACTGGATGAGTTTAGAATATTTGGATTGTTGCATCCCGGGACGCTATAGAGCCTGATATTTTCTTACTATTGTATCTTGAGCACGATTCTGTCTTTGCTTGCTAGGCTTCTTATATATTAATATAGCATTATATAGCCTATTGTGTATAATATATATTAATATAGTATTATATAGGCAATTGTGTATACTATAAATAAATATAGTATACTAAACATTAATATAGCAGTAAATAGCTTTTTTTCATTATTCTTGCCCATGTTTAGCACTTTGCGCTTGTCAGTGTCACAACGCAGCTGCTAAGTATCAGCTCAGTAAACTTATCAAGATCATCTCGCTGCTGCACTTTTTTTGAAGTTGTCACCGCTGTTTTATAAATGTCGGTATCGTCAGCGTAGATTCAGCACAGGCTATACACAGTTTCCGGAGAATGGTTTTTAAACGGAACGAATAAGCCGGCCCGATAGCCTCCCACGACATGACTACAGCCACGCACGGTTCTGCGCGGCGTGCCTGTAAGGAAGAACCTCAGCAAAGAAGAAAATTAAATTGTGAGAAACATGATGAAGACTTAAACTAAATAACTATTGTTGAGTCCAGGTGTTACAAGCAGTCAACGTGCGGCTTCTTCTTCACCTACAACCCGCAACCACCACCACCAAGAACCCTAGACTGCGCAGAGTTCTGTCTCGACGAAAGAAGAAATTCTGGGACTCTTTTTATGTTAAGAAATTTCACATAATAATATTGTCCAATATAATTGTATCGATGGTAGAAATTTAACAGAAGCGGTGTGCTAAAATCGAAAACTTGCATTACCTGTGGCTGAGGAATTGCGTCGCTGCAACATCATTCAGTCTTAAAATTCCTAGCAAATTACGGATCAGGCAATAAGTCCAGCAGCTATCTCAATCAATCGTCAGCTATGGAAAGATCGGGTTCCAAAGGCCGGATCCCTTGTGAATCAAGTCACGAAAAGTTCCAGAATCGGCAACAGGCCCTGGGCCTATTTCTTCAACGCCGACACTTCTATTCTATTCTATCACGAGACGAGCTTAAGTCGTCGCAAAATAAACCCAAATGTACATTTAAGTACAGAACATTGCATGACCTTAAAATT